TCGGCCTTTGCCAGTTTCGCCTTACTTTTCGGTTTAGTGACCACGCTCAGTTTAGCCTTCTTAGATGGTCCAATGCCATCGATAACTGAGAGGCATTATTTTACCTTTGGTCCAGAGTTGTCATTATTCTTTGGAACGGCTCTATTTTCATTTGAAGGCATTGCTTTGATTTTACCCATTCGCAATTCGATGAAGGATCCAAAGAAATTTAATCAACGTTTTGGTGTTTTGAATATTTCAATGCTCATTATTACCCTGCTGTTCGTGTTCACCGGCTTTGTCAGCTATACCAAATGGGGTGAGGGTGTGGAGGGTAGTATTACATTGAATTTGGATCCAGATGATAAGTGAGTAAAAATACGATTTAGTAAAAATATCGGGATAATGATTTTTTTTCTTTCTTTTAGACTTTCCCAAGCTGTGAAAATTGCTGCGGCCTTGGGTGTCTTCTTTGGCTATCCCATCCAATTCTTTGTCATGATGAAAATTATCTGGCCTCCACTGAAGCAAAATATGGCTGCGGCCCAAAAGCGTCCCATTACCGTGCAGGTTATGTTTCGTTTTATAATGGTGTTGTTGACATGTAAGTGAATGCCTCTCAAAGAGATTTAGGATCTCAAATTAAAATCTTTCCTTCTTTTCCTCCACAGTTGGCGTTGCTTTATTGGTCCCACAGCTCCATTTATTCATCTCGTTGATTGGTGCCCTCTGCTCCACCTCTCTGGCCTTTTTATTCCCCGTCTTCATTGATTTTGTGGTGCGGGCCCAAACCCCCAAAGGTTTGGGTACTTGGGTCTATTTGAAAAATATGGTCATCATGATTATTGCCCTGCTGGGTATCATTACCGGCACCTATGAAAGTATTCATCAAATTGTCAAGGCATTCTATGAAGATTAGTCCCCCCAAAACAAAAGAGGCATGCCAAAGAAGCACCGGCTATTCTAGAATTATTATTAATATTAGTTAGTATTGTAAAATATATATTATTGTATAATTGTAATTTAATTGTAAATAATGTTTAAGTTTAGAGAGAACAAAAAAAAACAACAACACGTCGATATATAAATATTTTACTTCTTTGTTTAGAACAATTTATGTTACGTATATATTTCCTGTTAAAAAACAGCCAACAACAAAAAAGTATTTTTTTAAATCTCACCTTTGTTATTATTATTGTTAATTATTACTATAAGATTTATGTAAATTTATTTGTAAAGCAACCACAATGGAACTCCAAAACCCCCAACAACTTGCCATCGTCATAGCAAATAAATGCAAAAAATGTGATTTGTTCTGTAATTAAAATAAAAAATGAAAAGTTGTTCCACAAAGCATTTTGTATTTCATTTTTTTATTTATTGAATTACATTGCCGGCACGCCTGATAGACAGGAATGCAAGCCAGCCAGCCAGCCATCCGATCAAACAACCTGTTCTCATGGTACAAGTTCTAGTTTGAGTTCAATTTGAGACGTATTTAGAAAAAAAAACAAAACTACTTCTTTGTTATGTGGCCTTGGATGGTTGGCAATTAGAGGCAAATCAAAATTGCAGCATTAGGTTAGACAATACGAAGTAATTTTTTAACGATACTGGAGGAAAAGGTGCACAAGAGGACGTGATTTTTTGAATGAGCAAGAGAGATCTACGGGCGGGGATTTTTATTAAGATTACTTTTTAAAAGATTTTTTTAAAGAATATTTTTCAAGGGCTACCAAAGGCGTGGATTTTTTAAAGAATATTTTTTCAAACCAACAGTTACCAAAGGCGTGGATTTTTTAAAGAATATTTTTTCAAACCAACAGTTACCAAAGGCGTGGATTTTTTAAAGAATATTTTTTCAAACCAACAGTTACCAAAGGCGTGGATTTTTTAAAGAATATTTTTTCAAACCAACAGTTACCAAAGGCGTGGATTTTTTAAAGAATATTTTTTCAAACCAACAGTTACCAAAGGCGTGGATTTTTTAAAGAATATTTTTTCAAACCAACAGTTACCAAAGGCGTGGATTTTTTAAAGAATATTTTTTCAAACCAACAGTTACCAAAGGCGTGGATTTTTTAAAGAATATTTTTTCAAACCACCATTACCAGAGGCGTGGATTTTTTAAAGAATATTTTTTCAAACCAACAGTTACCAAAGGCGTGGATTTTTTAAAGAATATTTTTTCAAACCAACAGTTACCAAAGGCGTGGATTTTTTAAAGAATATTTTTTCAAACCAACAGTTACCAAAGGCGTGGATTTTTTAAAGAATATTTTTTCAAACCAACAGTTACCAAAGGCGTGGATTTTTTAAAGAATATTTTTTCAAACCAACAGTTACCAGAGGCGTGGATTTTTTAAAGAATATTTTTTCAAACCAACAGTTACCAGAGGCGTGGATTTTTTAAAGAATATTTTTTCAAACCACCAGTTACCAGAGGCGTGGATTTTTTAAAGAATATTTTTTCAAACCACCAGTTACCAGAGGCGTGGATTTTTTAAAGAATATTTTTTCAAACCACCAGTTACCAGAGGCGTGGATTTTTTAAAGAATATTTTTTCAAACCAACAGTTACCAAAGGCGTGGATTTTTTAAAGAATATTTTTTCAAACCAACAGTTACCAAAGGCGTGGATTTTTTAAAGAATATTTTTTCAAACCAACAGTTACCAAAGGCGTGGATTTTTTAAAGAATATTTTTTCAAACCAACAGTTACCAAAGGCGTGGATTTTTTAAAGAATATTTTTTCAAACCAACAGTTACCAAAGGCGTGGATTTTTTAAAGAATATTTTTTCAAACCAACAGTTACCAAAGGCGTGGATTTTTTAAAGAATATTTTTTCAAACCAACAGTTACCAAAGGCGTGGATTTTTTAAAGAATATTTTTTCAAACCAACAGTTACCAAAGGCGTGGATTTTTTAAAGAATATTTTTTCAAACCAACAGTTACCAAAGGCGTGGATTTTTTAAAGAATATTTTTTCAAACCACCAGTTACCAAAGGCGTGGATTTTTTAAAGAATATTTTTTCAAACCACCAGTTACCAAAGGCGTGGATTTTTTAAAGAATATTTTTTCAAACCACCAGTTACCAGAGGCGTGGATTTTTTAAAGAATATTTTTTCAAACCACCAGTTACCAGAGGCGTGGATTTTTTAAAGAATATTTTTTCAAACCACCAGTTACCAGAGGCGTGGATTTTTTAAAGAATATTTTTTCAAACCACCAGTTACCAGAGGCGTGGATTTTTTAAAGAATATTTTTTCAAACCACCAGTTACCAGAGGCGTGGATTTTTTAAAGAATATTTTTTCAAACCACCAGTTACCAGAGGCGTGGATTTTTTAAAGAATCTTGAAGGAGGATTCAGACAAGGTGACAGTTTGTCAGTTTGTGATCTTTTCAAGATCCTGCTGGAAAAGTTCATACGAGACGCAAAGGTGAACAGAAATGGCACTCTGTGCAACAAACAACACCAGTTACTCGTCTATGCCGATGGCATCGACATAATGGAACATTGAGAACAATAACAGCCACATTTGAACAAATTGAGAAGGAGTCTGCCAAAGTGGGTCTGGCAGTAAACGGTGAGAAGACCAAGCTGATGGTATCTACGCGCAAGACGTCCAGTAAACTCAGACCAACTGTAGAACTTGAGAACTACAGCTTCGAGGTAGTGAAGCTGTAGTTCTCAAGTTTTTTTTTCTTTTTAATAAAACTAATTACAACAGTTTTGAAATTCGGAGAATGATTGTGATGGCCAACAGATGCTACTATGGTCTAAGTAAGCAGTTTAGAAACAAGGCCGCCAGAGCAAACTCTCACTTTAGAAGACGCTGATACTACCCGTGCTGTTATATGGATCTGAATCATGGGTACTTGCGCAAGCAGATGAGACACTTACTTGAGTAGTTAGCCACTTGCCAAACATTGAAATATATTATTATTTTTAGAATAATACCTTCTAAGATATCATTAAGAAACCTTGTTAAATGGAGTAGTATAGTTTGCAATTTAAATGAAATCGGCCTTAATGGCTTCAAATTGCATTTTTGGAATAAATAAACTAAACATATCTTGGGGTTTTTGAGAGGCCGATCTGCGTTGACGGTGAATACTGAACCGCAACCTATACGCGGACATCGACATAGTCAGTCATATTGAGCTGCTGCAACTACGGTGGCTAGGCCATGTTGTGCTCAAAAGGCTTATAAAAACGAGCTTAGTATGGTTCACGCAGAAGGGGAAGGTCACGAAATAGATGGAAAGTCCAAATAGAAGACAGCATCTCGGAGCATGGTCTTTCAAATTGAAAAAATGCTCACAAGACCGAAGCGCTTGGAAATCTTTTTTAAGCTCGGCTTATGGAACAACCGTTCTGTGACAAGCCAGCTAAGTAAGTATTTTTATGACCATCAATATGCTTGTATTAAACAAATATTAAGTATCGTTTTATGCATCAACATAAGCTTTTTAAATATATTGTTTCAACAACACCGGAATTTTGATGTTTTCAAAGTATATATTTTTAAGGACCCTAAGAGTATTTTTATTGAAGGGTCTTAGAAGGACTGATTTATTGTAGAATATTTTTCAAGGATACTTCAAACGTAAATTAAAATAAATATGTTTTCAAGGATTGTTAGTTCCCTAGGCGTAATTTTTTTAAGGAATATCTTCTATCGATGACCCTGAAGAATGTTTTGTTCAAGGACCTTGAAGTGTGACTTTCTGTCAAGGATTATAAGGACTATTATATTGAAGCGGACTGATCCGGTCCAAAATATATAAAAATAGGCACTAGATTTAGATTCTATATGCGTCTAAATGGTATTTTCATTGGTGCAGTTGCTAATGCCGTAAGAAGACTCCTCGGAGATCTGCTACCCCTCATCGCGTCTGGGAAACGTCAGTTTCATACGGTAGAGTATCAATTCGTATTGTGTGTGGATTGCTTACAATGAGCCGAATGTAAACTGCATCTTTTTAATGGTCACACCGAGCACCCCACGACTCCACTCACTCTAGACGATCTGGTAATGCAGTCAGGGGAAGTTGTTGTAATTTTTTAAGACTAATTTAGATCCATATATATTTTAAACAAAGAGAACAAAATATATAAAACGAAAAAAGTCAAATTTAGTGCAATGTCGCGGATCAATTTTATCCAAATTTCCGCGGGGTATTTTGAATATTTCCACATTTCAATTGACTAAAGCAATATATAATTGGGAGGCTGAAGGGAGCTTTCAGTTTCTATTGCTTTTTAACTATCCAAAAGAATCGCCATTTAAGATGTAATAGACATATGACAATATTGGCTACTCGATAGAAACTCCTTAAAAGGACGTATTGTGTGTGCTCGATCTTCGGCCACGGATATACATCACTCTCCTATGGACAGATGCCAAGATTATATTATTTTAAATGAAACTATACCAAACTTTGGAAGCCCCTTTCTGAGTATGTTTGCTATTATATGTAAGCAGGATCTTAATAGGTTCAAAGTAGTGCATATATTGTCATAGTTATTTTAATCTAAATGGGAAATAAACGTACTTTGGTGGTCAATTATGTGATCGTTGTTCAAAACGAATCGCGACCGATTCTAAATCAGACTATACAACATTTCGAATTGGATTACATTAAACTAATTCCTGTCAATAGTTGCAATTAATTCAAAACAAACTGAAAACAGCACAAATATTACCTCATATTGCTTGCGGATTGTATTGAATTGAGGACTTGAATTGAGAGTTGATTGAAGAATAAAAATATTGTTGATTGTAGAAAACAACGGTGATAATTTATCCTAGATCACTTATACATAAATATTTTAACTCGACCAAAATCCAAAGTATTTCAGGAGCATCCACACTTGAATTCCATAAAATTTCAAATACATTTTTCTTTTAAATTTTTTTTTTCAATATTTACACTTAGCTTACGCCACAGACACTTTATTTGCATTCTTCTTATCTTCTAATTTTTTCATTTGTTTCTCCTTTTTCTTAATAAATTCACTTTTATCCAGATTATTTTGGAAGAATGTGGTCTCCTTGCGGGCCTGTGACACCTCAGCCATAAGGCGTTGTTTATGCACGGCAGCCTCATAATTCATACGTTCCGTGAGATGGCACCATTTGAAACGTGGTAAATATTTCATACTCCAAATATAATCGTAAAATTGTGATTTCTTGCGGGTCGATATTTGTTTATTATTCAGCAGGGGGACAATTTGTTTGGCGATACGTTTCGATTCAAATTCCACCCAACCTTCGGTGAAGTGGCGGGCAAAGGGTTTGCGTTTTTTCTTCTTCTTTTTGTCGTCGCCTGAAAGACACAAAAAAAATTAATTCAATGAAATACATATTCCAAATTCTTAATCTAAAGGACTCACTTCCTGGCAGTTTTTCAGGTTGCAAATAGACTCTGCCAATTTTACCATATTCACCCAAAATCTCCCGTATACGTGTAACATTCATATGTTTGGGTATATTGGAAATATAAATAATGCCCTTTTTACGTTTCTTTTTGGGTTTATCTTCACCGGGTTGGAAATTGGCCAAATCCATATCATCATCGTCCTCGTCATTATCCTCTGCAGGACTTTCAATTGCCAAACCAGTACCATCATCCTCGTGGTCATCACTGGCTACTTGGTGTTCAGAATCCTGCTTGTTGTTTGTGTTTTTGTTGGAAACCTCTTCATTCTCCTCAGCCTCATCACTGCCGGACATTTCCACATCTTCATTGATCACTTTTGGCGGTACTTTGGGGGATTTTTTAATTTTCTTTTGTTTCTTCGGTTTTACTGCCATGATTTTTGGGTATTCTGTATTTTTATTTGATTGAATTATTCAATAAATTATAAAAATGTTCAGAAAGTATAAACTTTGTGTTGTTTTGATGCGAATCAAAACAAATGCACGTGAAGGCCTGTTGTCAGCCAATGATTGTGGTTGGCAACGCGAGTTTGATTATTAACAATCAATGGTGGGTACTTGGTAGTCTATTAAAGGGGGTATTTTATTCGCAGATGAATTAAAATTAAATTGGAAAATTATATTTAAAAAATCTACTCCCTGAAGGTACTTGGAAAAATATATTTAACAAATCCACACCTTGAAGATACTTGGTAGAATATATTTAAAAAAATATAAAAATAAAAACACGGTATAAAACCGGTCGAAAATCAAATGCTATCGGCTTTGAAAATCTGGTATGGTTCTGGTGCTGTAAAAATCTTAGAAGCCCTAATCTTTAGTCTCTGAAATGATTTTAAAATTAAAATTCTTTAGAGATATTTGATAGCATTTGCAAAAATATCATTTAAAATGTTTTATTGTATAATACTGCGGATCTGAAAACCATCTAATGGATGTGAAGGTTAGCCACGGCAGCTATTTTCAGGACGTTTCGTTACCCTAGCACCATCGGTAGGCGATATGAAACAATATGGCACCCAAAGTGGGGCACGAATCCACAATCCTGAAATTTGGAACTATTGCACTTCCGACTATGCTAAGGCTACGTTTAGACTACTAAATCCACTTGATCTCAAATGTTAATTCCATTGCGTATACGTCACGTTAATCCTGTGCACAAATCCATCAAATTATATTTGACGTATAAGCAATGAAATTAACATTTGAGATCGAGTGAATTTCGTAAATCTAACGTACCTTAACCTTGTTATAGGATCTGAAGAAAATCAAATGGCCGTGGCAGCCATTTTCAGCGGGTTTCTTAACCCTAATACCATTAGTAGGCGATATGAAACAAAATGGCACCCAACGTGAGGCACGAACCCACAACCCTAAAAATTTAGAACTCTTGCACTGACAGCTGAGCTAGCATTGTTATAGATGTGTGTAGTGTTGACGTAAATCTAACAGTACGTTTACATTTAATCGGATTTCGTTAACCCAGTGGGTTTCAATTGTCAATTCCTTTGCATATATGTCAAATAAATCCTCATGAAGTAGGTTAACCCGGTAAAAAGTTCTAATGTATATGCCGTTTAACGTACCTTAACCTTGTTATAGGATCTGATGAAAATCAAATGGCCGCGGCAGCCATTTTCAGCGGGTTTCTTAACCCTAACACCATTAGTAGGCGATATGAAACAAAATGGCACCCATCGTGAGGCACGAATCCACAATTCTGAAGTTTAGAACTCTTTTTCAGTAGGCGATATGACCCAATATGGCACCCAACGTGGGCCCCGAATCCACAACCCTAAAAATTTAGAACTCTTGCACTGCCAGCTGAGCTAGCATTGTTATAGATGTGTGTAGTGTAGACAGGGTCGAACTTTCGGACTCCACCTAAAAGTGGTAGCACCGACTGTGGTTTTCGCAATAAAAAAATCTGCATATAATAATGTCCTCTAGGGCGACTAGAAAATCCGACAAAAATAAAATTTTCGTTTCATTGCAGCCCATAAATATGATCTCAACATTACCGAAAATTATAGGTGTCGTCCTTGGCCATAACCGGAACATCAAGCAAAATTTTCTAGCCATCAGCGCTACATTTTCGTCCTCTAATGTGGTAATGGTAATAATAAATAATATCAAAATAAGTATACCTATTCCAATTTTTTTTATAGCTCATGTACATAAAGTCATATAATTGGTATAAATTTAAAGGTCCATCATTCCTCTTGGATATATTATCAAAATATGTCCTTCTGGAGTAAATAAATACGCCATAGAATAAAATGTTTGTCTTTTTTCATTCCCTTCCTGGCGGAAAAATTTGTGCTGTTCGCGGCATAATTGTGGCCTCGGAAAAACAGACAAAAATAAAGTTTTTAGTCCATTTCATCGCATAAATATTAACCGATCATTACCAAAAACAATAGGATTCTTTTTTGGCCAGGACCCATCCTACATACAAAATTTTCTGACGATTAATCCATAACTGTCTATATCGTGTTTCATGGTATAATAATAGAAGGTAACAGCAAGTGTTGTTGTACAAAAAACAATACAACAACCACATGGAAATTTGTTGTTGTAAGTTCTACTAGTGTCAACTCATTTGACAGAAAAATGCGAACAAACAAACAAATTATCATCAATCCCAGCAGGCAGATTGAGTAAATTGAATACCGGAGCATATTTAATAAAGAACAATTTCAAATTGTATGCGTTCCTAATTTTCCTGTTGGGTGATTTTTAAAAACATAATTTGTCAAATTCATATTGACACTAGTATTACATTGGAATCAAGTCAGCTGGGATTTGCTGTTACCTTTTATAATTGTACCATGATCGTGTTTGTAAATTATAATAGACAGACGTATAGATCGACACAGCTAGTCGAGCTATGACGATTGGTATTCTTAAAGGTACGTCTAGGGTCAATATTTCGTGGCATTAAAAACTCTTGGGGTTTTACAAAGCTATAGTGACAACATAGTTGTGTAGAATATAGAAATCGACGCCCGTATTGGTCCCTGAAAAAGTGTTCCATATCAACTTCACGATCCTTTTATTGTTGACACCTTTCGATTTACAGACCTCTATAAACACGGTGCTATCAATTATTAGTGAGTTGCCAACTCCCCTAATGAAGTTAAAGTATTTTCTTTCGTTGTCATTTTTAACATTATTTCAAAAATTATTATTAATTATTTGTTATTTATTATTAAAAATTAATAAATGAATTATTTAAAATTAAACATAAATATATTTCAAATTTACCAGTTGTTGCGTTTTAATGCATTTAAAAATAATCGATTGAACTGCAATGCGCCAAGAATGAAAATCGTTTTCGTTGTTATCGATTTCTCGTCATCATTTCCGATAACTAGAATGTCAACACTTACATATCCCTAATTTTCATTCGAGTACGAGTTGTTGACATGAACGTGTGTAGTGAGATGATACTCGGGCGCGCGCAAAATTAACAAGAAAAAATGTAGTTTACAATTAGAAGAAGAAGAAGCCGTTAACGAAAAAATAATTTATATATATTTTTGTTATTTCAATATAATTAACAAAAAATTAAATATAATTTGTCAACGAAAGAAAACAAAAAAATAAAACAGCGTTGCGAGTGTTTTGGTTACGAAGATAATTAAAAAGCCAACAACGAATTGTGTGTGTTTGTGTTACCTACCTACCTTACCAATAAAGTTAAGCTTAAGTTAAAGAATTTACAGCAACAACAACAAAAACAACGACTTCACCATAAAGAAACGAAGAAAAAAAAAACAACAATATAGTGCAAAAACAAGTTTTTGTATGTAGTTTTTTGATCAGTCAGTGGTGTATGAAATACGATCAACACAAGAAAAAATATTTAAAACAAAACGACAAAATATATACAAAAAGATGAAATAGAAAAATTAACAGTAGTTAATTTTGAAACATTGAAAAGAAGAATCCCTACCAGCAAAACAAAAGGCAAATTTTATTGTGAATAAACAAAAATAAAAAAAGGAAAACAGCAACAAAATAATTGTAGTTTATTTAAAAGAGAAATAATAATTAAACAAGCCTTATCCCTTTGCAATTTAAAAGCAGTTAACTAAATTTCATCTGTCATTCTGTTGTTTATTTTATTCTCCCTTTTTTTGCCTGCCTGCCCCACCACTCTCATAACGAATATTCTTATCATGATTCTCAGTGTATGAGTGTAGTGTGTGCTCTTTCTAACAAGTGTCCAAAAATGCCAAGATAAACAACTCTCCTTTATTTACGCTCTTGCTCTATCTTAACGGAGTGCTTGATCAGCAAGCACATTGATCAAGTGTCCTTAAATAAAAACAAAAACAATCGTTAACAGAATCGTCGCCGTCGACAACGACGACTGCATCGTTTTTATTCTACCAACAACAACAAACAACAACGGTCGCCGCCGACCCAGCACAACACACAAGAGCATACGACGCAATCGTCGCCGACATTCTTTTGTTGCTGTTCTTTCGTGTTCATAACTAACATCCCCTCTCGGCTGTAGTGTTGTTGTTGTTATTATTATTACAACTACTACTATTGCTTGCTGCTGCTGTTATTATTATTGTGTCAAACCAACAAGAGGCCAGTCGGCACAAGAACAACAACTACTACTATAACGACGGACGTTACGAGTGGTAAAACAACAATAACTACAACACGATTTGCTTCGATTGTGTGTTGTTGTTGTGTGTTAACAATGCAGCTGCTTTTTTTACGTTTGCATTTTTCTTCTTGTTGTTATAATAACATTATAACGTCGTCGTCCACCACATTGGGAGAGTAGGCAATACTACAATGATGATGAGTAAGAGAATTACACAAATGTAACAACAACAAAACCAACAAAATTTAACTGAACAAACTACGAGAAATAAATAAAACAAAAATAAAAACAACAAACGAACGAGATTACTCAGTTAACAAATTCTCAATAAAAAAAGTAACCAATCATCAAAATAAAAATAAACATCAACGAGAAATAATAAAAAACGAAGTTATTTTGTGTGAAAAAATCAGAGAAATTGAAAGAAAATTATTAAATAAATAAAAGTGCATTATTTAAAATAAAATAAATTTAAAAAATAAAATAAAAATATAGAGAGTTACTCTATTCAAAAGAAAAGGCCTTAGCAGAAGAAAAAAAGAAAATCTATTTTTGTAGTGATATTTTTGTGTGACCACGAAATCAAAAATTTATAGTTTTTTTAAACTTATAAAAATTCATCATCCATCATGAAAGTAACCGTCTGTTTTGGTGACACACGCATCCTTGTGCCCTGCGGCGATGGCAATCTCTTGGTTAAGGATTTAATACACGAAGCAACAAGGCGCTATAAAAAAGCAGCAGG